GGCAGTGCAGCAGTGTCAGGATGGGGCCGTGGTGCTGTGCTCAGCGCTGCTCTGCATGGGGAGGGGTTATCTCCGAGGCCACTGCTGCCTGCCCAGCATCTGCAGGGTTAAAAGGAGGAGGAGCGGGGAGATGGATTTATTGGATGGATCCATCCCCTTTAAGCACTGCAATGGATGTTCTGGGACCAGAGGGAAGGACACAGATGCACAAGCATTAAGTTTACTTAAAAATATAAACCACTGGCGAAGCAGTGCAAAGTTGCCTTTTATGGTTCCCAGTAGACCCTGGCAATGTGTGAGAACGTCCCTGCACTCCCTTCCTGCACGTTCCTCCAGGCTGTTTCCTGCTGAGGAAACAGGGGGGAAAAACAAACCCAAACCAAGCCCAGCCCCTTGTTCCCCCCCGGGTCTCTGGGAGGGTTCTGCAGTTGGAAATGCATCCTGCCAGATTGCAGGAGCACTCGGTGCCTCAGCAGGCATGAACGTGAAGACCGTGCTCATCCTCCTCGGTCTGGCGTTGGCCACGATATTCGCCTTGGTCTGCGTGTTGCTGACCAGAGGAAGGGCCCCCAGCACCTGCCAGCACCTGCCCCCGGAGCAGGAGGACACCGAGGATGGCCAGAGCCTGGTCTTTGCTGACCTGACACCCGAGGAGATGGTGCAAGTGGTGCGGTACCTGCAGGGGAACCTCGGGGTGCCGCTGGTCGATGCCTCGCGCGCCAAACCCTCGGACAACTGCATCGCCTCCGTGGACCTGCAGGTCCCTGCCAAGGCAGAGGTGCTGCGGTTCCTGGACGGCGGGGGGGCTCGTCCTGCCCGAGAGGCCCTGGCCGTGCTGTACTTTGGGAACCAGCCAGACCCCAACGTCACCGAGTACGTGGTGGGTCCCCTGCCAGCGCCGGCGTACCACCGGGACGTGACGGTGCGGAAATACGGGGGGAAGGTGCCGTACCACCGCAGACCTGTTACTGGCAAGGAGTACGTGGATATCAACGCGCTCATCCAGAGGGAGCTGAAAAAGGCGCCGCGATTCCTCTCTGCGTGCTGCGAGTCCGACGGGACCGACCTGGCCGTCCTCACCACAGCCCCGCGGGGCTTCAAGTCTGGCGACCGCACAACCTGGTTTGTCCTTTTCCACAACGTGGCTGGCACCGGCTACTACCTGTCACCAGTGGGGCTGGAGGTGCTGGTGGAGCACGGGGACCTCCAAGTCTCCCGCTGGCAGCTGCGCAAAGTCTTCTACAACGGCCGGTACTTTGCCAGCACAGAGGATCTGGAGCGGGAGTTTCTGGCCCGCACGCTGGAGGTCGTCAGGCTCAAGAAGCCCCAGGCTGATGCAGTACTGGGCTCAATGAGGCCCCGCCATCTGCCTGACTCGCTGGGTCCGCTGCAGTTTGAGCCCCAAGGTCCCCGCTACAAGGTCAGGGACAATCACATCACCTACCAGGGCTGGAGCATCACCTTTGGCATGAACCCCAACTCCAGCCCACGCCTCTTTGACATCAGGTACCGGGGGGAGAGGATTGTCTATGAGCTGAGTCTCCAGGAAGCCTTAGCCCTGTACGGCTCCAACTGCCCTGGGGGAATGTCCACCCGCTACCTGGATGGGAGCTTTGGCATTGGCAGGTTTGCCTACGAGCTGGTCCAGGGCCTCGACTGCCCCTACACGGCGACCTATGTGGACCAGCACTACCTGGCAGAGTCAGATACTCCCAAAACCAACCAGAAGTCACTCTGCATTTTTGAGCACGACTCTGCCCTCCCCCTGCGCCGCCACTTCTCTGACTCACAGTCCTTTTACTATGGTGGGCTGCGGAAAAACACGCTGGTCATCAGAACCATCTCCACGCTCATTAACTACGACTACATCTGGGACTTCATGTTCCACGGCAGTGGGGCCGTGGAGGTCCGTGTGCATGCTACTGGCTACATCAGCACCTCCTTCCTCCACGGCCAAGGCACTGACTATGGCAACAGGGTTGGGCCCCACACCCTGGGAACGATGCACCTCCACCACATGCACTACAAGGTGGACCTCGATGTCGACGGTAGGTCTGGCCACCTTTGCTCGTGGCTGCAGTTCACAGCAGCTCTGCCTGGGGTGTGGAGGTCAAGAGTGTTTTCCCTTCTGCTTCGCAGGTCAGATGAACTTCCTGGAGACTCAGGACATGGAGTACGAGATT